TGGTACTTTGGTACAGTTGATAAATCTCTGCGTTAAGTGGAGTCCAAAATGGAGGATGGTGCTAAAGCTAACTAAACTAGCTATGTTGACATGAACTAAAGTGCCAATTCTAATTCAAAAACTCTAGAATGTTACACTTTCAAGATGGCAAAATGCATTTGACTGTTATTTGCAAAGGCTAAGCTAATGGGCTAGTTGGCTAAAACATTTCCTGGTCATTAGCTAAAAGTCCTGTTCAGCAATGTTTTGATGGTGGAGAGAGCCCTGTAAATGGTTGGCTATAATGCAGAGAGGCTTTTGGTCCAGTTGCTGCACCAGTTAGCCCTCATCCAACCACCTGTTTCGTGGTAATGGTACCATTTTCTGCCCCGATGTTGACTCCAAAAGGTTTTTTTTTCTACGTGGTTTCATGACATCTACAGCTCTTTGAACAAACGGCATGTTATTACAAGAAATGGATGTTAGTCTTGGGGAATTTTTTTATTTTTTTTTTGGTTTTGCCTTGAATGGTGGTGCAGTTGAGCTGTTTCAAAATCATTACAAATGCACTTTTCAAACATGAATCATACCAGTCGGCATGTTGTGTTGCCAGATCTGGCACCCGACTTCATCTTCTAACGTGTCGTCCTTTCTGTGTGTAGACTGTTCCTTTGGATGTCGTCATCTTCAAAATGTCTTTGCTAACGTTGTTGCAACAGTATTTATTGAATTATATTTTTCTCTTTAGAATAAATGAAATTAGAAAAAAGGAGTTTTTTTGTGTGTGTTGGCAAAAAATGGTTTCTTTTTAATTAAGAAACATCTCTTTCCAGATGTGGGTTTAAAAAGCTTAGAAAAAACAGGCAGGTTTGGACGGGGTTCTTGTAAACAAAAACCAAGTACCTTAAGTGGTTTCATTAGCGAGAAATACATAAACCTCCTTAGAAGGACTGCAGTTCTCACAAATAAAGACTCAAGTCCTTGACTTTCTTGACATCTCAGTGAGAAACTGATTTTAAGTGGAACAAACGGCTCTCTGTGAGTCAGGCTGCTTATAATGCTAAAGTAGCACTAAAAGCAGAGGGCTTTTGTAAAGGCCGTGGTGGATCCCCTGGGGCTGCCAAGCATAGAAACTGCTTTTCCTCACACAGAAAACCTATAAATCACCCCATGACTTCATCACATGCATATGGACTGAGATGTATTAGCTTGTCAGAGGCAGGAAAGCAGACCTGTCAGGTGAAAAATAAACGTCAGTGATGAAAGACACACAAATGTTCTCCTTATGTCTGCACAAATCCAAAGATATTTCCAAGTAACAGTCTTCCAACTATTTTCGAACTAAGAAGTTATTTTATGTTTTAGGAAAATGTGTTTACTTTGTTGTAAGCTAATTAGTTTTAAGCTGTTAGCTTTATTGTTATGAGCTAACAACAGGAAGTGTGTTAGCTTAGCCTTTTTCAGACTACATGAAATAGTCTTTTGTTACCCTTTAAAGTTTTAAAGTAACAAAGTTTTGTGAAATCGCATAAAACATTTTGTAGGGCTGGGCGATCTGGCCTAAAATCAATATCACGATATATTGAGGATTTCACCACGATAACGATAAATTGGACGATAACTACAGGTGTGCGCAGAAACAAAAGTTGTCCACTAGATGGGGCAGTCACGTGTATTACGTTGAGTCACATTTTTACGTGACTCAAGGTGGTACAGCTTCTTAAAGGGACATGAACGTTCCCAACCTACACACATCTTTTCATTTTTTTTATTATCACATTTATTGACATGGGAAAAATTATCTCGATGAGTGTCAGAATTTTAGATAACGATAAGTTTTTTATTTATTGCCCAGCCGTACATTGTTGTTATACTGTTACGGACCGTTGGCTCCCTATATGACCTGTGTCAAAGCTTGGTCCGTATTGCCGGCAGTAAGTCGGGCTTGTTTTCAGTGAGAGATGGACTCTGCCAAGGCTGCCCTTTGTCACCAATTCTGTTCATAACTTTTATGGACAAGATTTCTAGGCGCAGCCAAGGTAGTGAGGGGATCAATTTTGGTGGCCTGAGGTTCAGGTCCCTGTGTTTTGCAGATGATGTGGTCCTGCTGGCTTATTCAGAATGTGATCTCCGGTTTTCGCTGGATGGTTCGATGGTTTGCAGCTGAGTGTCAAGCAGTTGGGATGAGAATCAGCTCCTCTAAATCCGAGACCACGGTCTTGAGTCGGAAAAGGGTAGAATGCCTTCTCCGGGTCAGGGATGAGGTCCTGCCCCAAGTGGAGGAGTTCAAGTATCTCGGGGTCTTTTTCACAAGTGTGGGAAAGATGGAGTGCAAGATTGATAGGCGGATTGGTGCTGTGGGCATTGTACCGATCTGTTGTGGTGAAGAGAGAGCTGAGCCAGAAAGCGAAGCTCTCGATTTACCGGTCGATCTATGTTCCTACCCTCATCAATGGTCACAAGATTTGAGTAGTGACCTAAAGAATGAGATTGCGGATACAAGCAGGTGAAATGTAGTTTTCTCCACAGGGTGACTGGGCTCTCCCTTAGAGATAGGGTGAGAAGCTCCGTCATCCGTGAGGGGCTCAGAGTAGACCCGCTGCTCCTCCACATCGAGAGGAGCCATTTGAAGCGGCTCGGGCATCTAGTTAGAATGCCTCCTGGAAGTCTCGCTGGTGAGGTTTTCCAGGCACATACAACCAAGAGGAGACATAAAGGAAGACCCAGAACACGCTTGAGGGACTATGTTTCTCGGCTGGCCAAGGAACGTCGAACCTTGGAGCTGGCCCGAGTGGCTGGCGAGAGGGAAGTCTGGGCCTCCCTGTGACACAGTGACATTTTTTACATTACAAATTTTAAAATGATCTTTGATCATTATTATTTATCTAAACACAGGGAAGTAACATGAAGGTTAAAGCCAAAACAAAACCATCACCCCTTAGTGGTTAGCTCTTAAGCCCCTCCCCCTCCAATTACATGAATTGCACAGAAAAAATATATAAAGGAACATCACAGATAGTTATTTTTTTTAGGTTAAGCCTAAAGTTACATTCAAACCAATTACACCATTGTTTTTCTTGTGAAATTCCCAATAAGTTTGATGTGTCACATGACCCTCTTCCTATTGAAAAAAACAAAAGTTGGATCCAAGATGGCCAACTTCAATATGGCCACCATGGTCACCACCCATCTTTAAAAGTTTGCCCCCTCATACATATTAATGTGCCACAAACAGGACGTTAATATCACCAACCATTCCCATTTTATTAAGGTGTATCCATACCTTACCTTACTTTTTTACATTCAAACACATTTGATGCTTTAAAAAGAACAATTGTGTACGGGTGAGTAGACAAGGCTTTTACTGACACATCCTTGGGGATCAGACGCAAATGACACAATGGCTACCTCTGTGGGAACGTTATTATAGCTTTACCTCAGTGGAAGCAAATATACTAACATGTTAGAAATTAGCTTTCCTGCAAATCATATGTTTTGACACTTTTATTTGTCCAGCACCAACATGCTAAACGCATAACCGTTTACTGACATAAATCCTCACAAAAAACATATTTAACATGAACTCTTTCACCTTATCCTCGTTTCATTTGAGTTTAACTCGACCCGGATACTGTAATAAGTAAGGAATTCTGGTCTCAAACACTGCACAAGGGTGAGCTGAGCTGACACAATCAAAATCTGTAGTCCACCCTGAACCGAAATGGTCCCAAAACTCCTTATTTTGTAGACGTTTTGTATGAAAGGGGTAAAATGAGCTAATCCACTGACCGCAGATGTTACTGTGAGTAATTCCCACTCCTCTCCCAAGGTCGTCCTCTTATGATTTGTAGGTGTTTATAGTGTTTTTCAGACGTGTTGACAGTAAAGGCTTTTGGGATGACCGTGTTGGGGGGTGCACCACTTCCGCCCAGAATTAAATATTATGGCATCTTTTAATCAGTAGCTCTGAGTTAAGGTTCAGTAACGTCCTCTTACAGAACATTTTCTGGTTGTTTTATAGTATATCATTTCATTAATAAATGTTATTAGACATTAGTGTATCATAATAAATGTGAGGCCTGACCCAAAATAAAATGTAATTTTTGTGTGCATAGACAATATTTGCCCTTCAGTCCAAATGGGAGTGGCATATAATTCCCCAGACAAAATCTGGACAGCCTACTCAACAATGACATAGGTCTCATTGACCTTTGACCTATATGATCAAAGCTTGTCACATGAGCCCACAGTTTTAATGTTGGTCACTTCATCAGTTTGTTT